TCATACATATTCAAAAATCTAGGTTAAACAGTATAATTAGCAAAGAGCAAAAAAAGAAATATTTTTCAGCGATTCTGATTGTAAAAAAAGTAGATTCAATTAATTTGTCTATTGTCATTAATAAGATACATTCAAATTATTATTATACTATATACGGTACAAAGATCATACCGATTAAATCTATAATAATCAAGCCAAAATTATTAGTTTATACTTTGTCATACAAATATACTCTATTTGTTGATTAATAAAAAAAGCTCGTGTTATTTTTCAATTATGTCGATAGATTAACAGAATATTTTTTCGGTAGAAGATTTAGTTAATTTGATAAAAAGCCTCTAAGTATTTTAAATGATATACATATAGACCTTTTGTTTTTTAATTATCTAATTATAGTTTGAATGTTATCTCATTCAGAAAATTTTTTTTTTAATCCAATATTGATAATAGAAAACTTGCTCGATTCATTGAAATTTATATTGAAAAATAAGTTAGTTGTAAATGATTATTTTTGAAGTTTTTGACTCTTTTATTTCAATAGTTTTCAATGTTATCTATCTCTATGTGATATAATTATTATTATATTAAGAAAAATTTTTAGAATTAGAACGATGAGTAACAAGAAATTATTAAATTGAACTATCTATGTAAATTTATTCTTGAATAATATCATAAGTTTCAATAATTTCTTCGTTAATAATTGGCATTTTTTTTGTTGATTGAAATATTTGTTGAATAAATGAATAAACTTTTTCTCTTAATTGAATTAAATATAAATGAAATATTTCTAATTTTGATAAATGTAAAACATTTATATTTGTTATTTTATTAATTAATTTTGGTTCTAATTGAGATTCTATTGTTTGAGATATAGAACAAAATAATTTATGATAATTTTCTTTTCTTAAAATAGTTCTATGTTTTAAAAAGTTCCATTCGATTGATTTAATATTCATTAATGATAAATGTTTTGATAAAAAAAAATATGTTTTTTCTTGTTTTATTGAATTTAAATCAGATAAACTTCTATACAATCGATGTTTTATAATGGAATTTTCATTTAAATATTTAGGATTAAATGTTATTATTGATGATGTTGAAGAATTTTTAAGAAAATTTTCTTTTTTTGAATTTTGATTTGATATTAAAATGAGAATATCATTTATTGTTGATTGACAAAAAGGTGTTGAATATTCATCTATTTCTGATGACATATCAAAATCAAGAAAACGATTACGTAAAATTTCAGCCATTTCATTAAGATCATATGATGATAATGCATCAGATTCTGATAAATGACAAGTCAAATCGAATTCATCCCATTCGAAATCATTATCACATAAACTTTCTCCAACATCTGATGTTATTTCTGTTGAATGACGTCGATTGAATTTTACAACAGAATTTGAACGAGAATTTACATATGAATATATCGTTTCCATTTATTTAGATATGTCTTTGTAAGAA